CAGAGGCCAGGCAGTGGTGGCGCACACCTTTAATCCCAGCACTCAGGAGACAGAGGCAGATGGATCTCTGTTAGTTCAAGGCCACCCTGAGTTACACAAACTTGACCCACTGTAAATGAGAAAAAGAGCCATGAGGTCGTAGCTCATACCTTCAATCCCAGTACCTGGGAGTCACACACCTTTAATCCCAGCACTAGGGAGGTGGAGACAGGAAGGCACGCGGCTGAGCGGAGAGAGGGATGTAAGACCTGAGGGACAGTCAGTCTGAGGATCCTGGGGACAGGATTGCACCTTTGGTCCAGGCACTGGTAGAGGGAAGGGCTCTAGTGGCTGGGGCTGCTCTGCTTCTCTTATCCTTCAGCTCCCCACCCCCAATAGCTGACTCTGGGTTTTTATTGTTGAGAACAAAGAGACTCCATTCTACATGCTGCAACGCCTAATGGCCAAGTTTGGTCCCCAGACCCACACGGAAGAAGAAGAGAGCTACAGCTACATCACGCAGGCTCAACACTGACACATATGAAATGAACAATTCCCAATAAAGTTTTAAAGAAAAAGGCAGTTCCCCCAAGGTGTGCTCTGACCTTCACACACACACACACACACACACTCTCTGATGAATGAGTGAAAAAATCTCACATTTTCAAGATGCTTGAAGATCTCAAATACCGATAACTAAGAACATGACCATTCCCCAAGTTGCTCTGGACACAAGGTTGAATGACAACTCTATAAAGTTTTTAAATAAATTTTTACAACTAAAAGAAAAAAAATTCCACTGGCATTTGTCTTTCTGGAAAATTCCAAAATGTAAAAAAGAAAGAAAAGAAACAAAATTTATGGGTAATTAAAAAAAAAAAACTGGGTCTCACATAGTCCAGGCTGGCCTTGAACTCCTGATCCTCCTGACCTGATTTCCCAAACCCTGAGATTATGGGTATGCACTACAACACTTCTGTGTTTGTAAATGTGAAAACTCAGTAGGCAGTTTTATCAAAGAAACATCTAGGCATTCTCTATATTTGTCACCAACACCCCACTCACACACATACACACAACCCACCACCACCCCGCCACCCCGCCACCCGCCATCAATGAATGTTCTATGACCAAAGCAAAGCAGTGAAGGGAAGTCCTGTAGGGCCCAATCTACACCTTTTGAAACATCACCTACCAGTAAGAGTCTCTAAAACTAGCCTCCTGGTGGCTGACATCTCTGAGTCTCCGATATTGCGGTATAGGAAGACCAAGTAGACCTAGGCTGCTGGGACAAACACAAGGAAATCCCAAGGCATCTGTAACTAAGATTTTAGTGGAGTGCTGAAACTGACTTGCTTGGACACTGCAGCAAAGAGGCAGCCGACATTTACATAAAACAGCAGGACTGGTATTCCCCATGTAGTAAGAACCATTCTCAGAGATGGCCAGACGTCTTTGTCAGAATAGCATCAAACCAGCGGGACGGGCAGTAACAGCTAAGAAGCTCAAAGAACTTCACATTTACAAACACTGTACCCTTACGCCTCTCCAGGGGATGGGTCTACCCGATGTGATAGGCAGTCTCTCTACCCTGAAAGTGCACTCTTGCCAAGAGGAAGCGGCATCACTGTCAGTCAGTTTATGCCTTCTTCCTGAGGCAGAGTTTGGTAGTTAATGTCTGCTCATTTCAGCATTCAGGAGGCTGAGGCATGGAGAGGACTGCCCCGAGTTCCAGGCTCACCTAGGCTACTCAGTGAGAGACCCTGTCCAAAGCAATGCTACCACCACCCTAACTGGACACTTCCAGAGACCTAGAGTTGTTTCTGGGTTTCACACCAGCAGACCACACTGTAGCCCAGCCTCCCTCTGACCAGATTCAACAAATGGGCAAGTTCAGAAACAGACGAGGAGGCCAAAGACTAGACACTGAGTACAGAGCAATGGGGCAGGTTACCGCCTCCATCAGTGAGAAATAACTAACCGCCAGTGCTCGCCATAATCCAGCACTCGGGGATGGGAGAGAAGACTCAGTGGTTAAGAACACTAGGCGCTCTCGCAGAGGACCTGAGTTCAGTTCCCAGCACCCACACGAGGAGGCTCATGACTCTACCTCTAATTCCAATTCTAGACCATCCCAAGTCATCTTCTGGCCTCCACTGGGCACCAAGCAGGCGTACCTTAGGCACTCACACATACATATAAAAATAAATAAACAAATAATCTTAAAAGAGGGAGAGAGCTTGGAGAAGACGTCTGCCCTTCTCAAAAGGAAACCTTAGGACAGACAGGTCTAGTGACAGGCAAGAAGGTAAAAGAAGGGACAAATGTCAACCATTACTTACAGTCCAATGTGCTTGATGCACTACACACCACTTGTTTCATGGAAACCCCTGGACTGAGAAGGGAATTTTCACTAGAAAAATCCATAATGCTGATGTTATAGAAATGCATAGTGGAGGCAGAGGCTGGTGGATCTCTGTGAGTTCCAGACCAGCCTGGTCTACAAGAGCTTGTTTCCAGGACAGGCTCCAAAGCTACAGAGAAACCCTGACTCAATTCCCCAAAATAAACAGTGACAGATATTAACATTCTCTCTCTCTCTCTCTCTCTCTCTCTCTCTCTCTCTCTCTCTCTCTCTCTCTCTCTCTCTCTCTCTCTCTCTCTCTCTCTCTCTCTCTCTCTCTCTCTCTCTCTCTCTCCCTCTCTCTCTCTCTCTCTCTCTCTCCCCCTCTCAATCTCAACTCTCAACAACCCCCCCCAAACAGACAGACAGACACACCAGCCCAGTTGCCGCTGCCGTTCCTCAGACAGATGAACTAAGGTCTAGCCTGGTGTATAAATTTCAAGTGTCCTGTTTTCCCACATAACTGCACATCCAAAGAAACATGCTGCCAAAATGACAATCTGGTCCAGTTAACTCCATCTCACAGACGAACCCACTTCTGATAAAGGTTGTCGCCTGTTTTCCTCGAAATCATTGCCTCTGTTTAGGAGATCAAACAGCAGATAAAAATGGGTGTGGGGGGGCACCCACTTGCAATCTCACCACTCAGGAGGTAGAGGCAGGAGGAACAGAGGGCTAAAAGCCATCCTTGGCTATAGAGTTTAAGGCCAGTTGGGGTTACAGGAGACCAGGTCTCAAAAAACAAAACAACCACACAGCAAACAATAGCCATAGCAGTGTGCAGCAATGGCGCTGAGTGCCTGTCCTCTCTGTCTGTCTGACTATATACGTGACATACATATATACACCCATGTATGTTTCTTATGTAGCCCAGGATGACCTCAAACTCTCTATGTAGCCGAGGATGACCTTGATCCTAGATCTATCTTCCTCTCCTTCGCCAGTGCGGGATTTTTCAACAAGGGCCACCACACCCCGTTTACACAGTGTAGGTTGGGATGAAGCCCACAGCATTGCATATGATGGGCAAGCATGATACCAACTGAGTTCCACCTCCAGCCTCATATTCTGCTGCAAATACATTGACAATAAGTTAAGGGAGGAGTAGCATAAAAAAGCCCCAGACTAGAGTTCCTCAGACCTTAGTGTGGACACAGCGTTATTCACAAATAAATGACCCTCTCACTTCAGACTCTGCCTTAAAAAAGCAGAGCACCATCCAGTCAGATGAGGCATATTAAAGCCACTGACAGACTAATATGCTAAGAAGAAAATAATCCAGCCAATTTTTAAAATTTGCATGCTTCCAGAATCTTACCTGCTAGTGTATTTATGGATTTTCTGTCTTATTTGACACTTAAAACCTCAAGAATACACTTTTCTGTAGAAGCCAACCCAAGTTAAGCAGAGTATGTGTGGTTGCAGGCAAAATAATACTATCACAGGTCTTTCCACAGAGGAAGGGTCACAAGAGGGGGACGTTGGGGATTCACCATCCAGCGCGGCTCCGGGTAAGAACACCACACACTTACCTGTGCTGGGGGTCAGTTCTGGTAATTGTAGTTGACGTCTAGGAATGTGGTTATGAATACAATTATCCAGAGGCAGCAATTGGGCAATCGCAACCTAATTAAGCCCACTGACTAGATTATCTTGTTTTCCCCCTAATAATCACATAACATTTAACACTCGCTAATTTCTGGACCTATGGGTGTGTTCATTCATGATTAACAAGCCCAGCCACTGGTCAGAGCGAGGCCACACCAACTCAAGCACGGAGCAGAGATGGGTGACACGGTCAGCCAGCACCTGCTCTTGAACACCTCTTCACTCCGCAGCCCTACTAAGTTGCTGGCTGGAGGCGTGCGACTAAAGGACTGACTGAACTTTCAAGAGGCTGGAACGCTAGAATTCTTGCTTTCTTGAAAGCACACTGGTTCATGGAATCAGCATGGTGCTCTTTTTATTTTTTAATAAGGTTGATCCTGTCTTTGAAAATGAATTTTCTTTGCAGAATAACGGCTGATTCCTCTGCCAGGCCTGCATATGTAAACGTTACCCATTTGTCCCCTCACACATGTCCCAATGCCTCCGCTCCGCCTCTCATGTTGAGCATGCGCACAAATTGAACATCCTATGTCCATTGAGCATGCGCACAAACTGAACACCCTGTATCCAATTGCCAGAGATACGTTGGCCCAATTCACCTCACTCTCTCCAAAGCAGCTCCCGAAAAGAGCCTGGGTGGGCTCCTTTCCAAAGAATTAAGAAGACCAAGAAAGAATTCGATTGAAGACTGGTCTTTGAGATGGGCTGATGTGGGGACACAGTTTATATTGTGGCTGAGTCCCAACTCTTCTAAATTAGGAATTCTGACCAAACAATCAACGTTTTGCTAGTTTACTTTACTCTCTTCCATGAATACCTCCTACACCCCAAAATTCTTTTTTTTCTTTTGAGACAAAGTCTCTCTCTGTCTCTCTCTGTCTCTCTCTGTCTGTCTCTGTCTGTCTCTGTCTCTCTGTCTGTCTGTCTCTCTGTCTGTCTGTCTCTCTCTCTCTCTCTCTCTCTCTCTCTCTCTCTCTCTCTCTCTCTCTCTCTCTCCCCACAGCCCTGTCTGTCCCAGAACTCACTATGCAGATAAGGCTGACCTTAATCTCACCGAGATCCACCTGCATCTGCCTCTGCATCTCAAAGTTCTTTATTCAAGCAAACAGTAATGTGAGGGCTGGGAAAGTAGCTCTGTGGTAAATTTCTTCTCTACCATGTACCCCAACACAGCAAAAAAGAAAATAAAAGAAGAAAGAAAAGGAAACAATGGTTTGGGTAAGTCTGACAGGGTGATTGTCCTAACGAAGTGGAAATGGCCTTTTCTTGTGCACTCTAGAAACAGGGTACGTATTTACCCTTTTACAAAGGTTTTGACTACGTGTTTGTGTAGGTACCAGAGTTCAGAGGAACAGGGATGCAGCGAGGATGGGAGCCGGTGAGACTATTCAGTCATCAGTGTCCATTTCTGGTCTCACAGAACATCCACGGCCCTGTATACCTTAGGAGCGTACAGACCTCCTCTATCTCCATGAGGACAGCCACTCACTCTGTGAAAGACATCTGCAGTCACCTATAAACAGTGTTTCTTATGCAGTCACCTATAAACAGTGTTTCTTATGCAGTCACCTATAAACAGTGTTTCTTATGCAGTCACCTATAAACAGTGTTTCTTATTCACTGGGTCACTACGGTCTCAGCAGAACACATGGTGACCACTGAGGGAGCCGGGAGCAATAGTACCCACGTTTAAAGAATCAGCCCAGTTCACAAATGACCATTCAAAACTCTTAAATGTCTGCCTTTGTAGCTTCTGTCACCAAAGCCAATACAGGACTCGAGACTTCCAAAAGGGATCACAAGAGGGAAAGAAACACAGCGTGTGCATAGTCAGACGTGCTCATTTTAAAACGCTGTCTACAAACTGGGCGGTGGTGGCGCACACCTTTAATTCCAGCACTTGGAAGGCAGAGGCAGGCAGATCTCTTGTGAGTTTGAGGCCAGCCTTGTCTACAAAGTGAGTTCTAGGATAGCCAAGGCTACATAGAGAAACCATGTCTCAAAAAACAAAAGAACAAACAAAAAGCCTCAAATGAGTTTGATACAATTTTAAAATATACACTTTCCCAAGTGACTCCTACAAGGCCTCCCTTGTAACTCAGAAGACAAAGAGGGTGCTCTTGGTAAAACACTTTCTCAAGTTATTGGAATGGGCTGACTCTTTCCTCTTAACCAATACATTACAATCAATCAATTTCCCATTATGCGCAGATTCCCTTCCACAGCACAAAGACTCCTGGCTACCCGAGGAGACAGACCATCAAGAACATAAGCTATTAGCATATAGGTCAGGTCCTATCAGCAGAGAGCCAAGGCTCTGGAGGAACGTACCTCTCATGTGAACTCTGGCTCTCCTACTTCTTAGCTCATGACCCTGGGCAAATTATCTCTCTAACCCTTGGTTTCTTCCACCACACTAACAGTCCCTGGTTCATACTAAATGTTAAATAAATGTTACCCAGTATTAATGCGAACTAGGAGCCCCTCTAGGAGGGAAGTGCCATTTGGAAGGTTTACGTGGTACTCCTCCTCCTGTACTGAATCAGAGTTAGCGGAATTTTTTCATGAAGCGGTCATATTTATTCTCTATTGTTTTCGCTCAATATTAGGACAGACAGCATCCAGCTGACGGCAGGAAGAAGGGCAGAAGAAGCTTTTGTAACTGAGCTGACCTTCGGGTGAGAAACATCCCTTCACCTCTGCTCCTCCGAGTTTCTACTATCAAACACTAATTAGCAGTGCTTCAGAGACTACCCAAGATGGAGGGAGACACGGGAGAGAAGACATTCTGGTGGGTAAGTGATTATGTCGAAATCTTTTCATGTCTACCTCAGGGGAGCTTTAGTCTGTAGCCCAGGGGTTCACATTTTGCCCCAGCTGAAGAACCACTAGATGAGGCCCAGGGTCCATCCACCTTAGCTGAATGAATGTTCTTCAGTTGCTGTTTAGTTGCCCCTAACACAAAGGGATGATGTAACCAGGAACAAGAAAGGCTGAATATCTTACGCACCAATGGCCTGGGTCTGGATTTTAAAATGAGGGGAGTAGACCGGTCCATCAGCCCGTGCTGAGCTTTGGCTCAATCAGACGGTTTAACCCTGAACTGGACCCCAGGCAGGGGTCACGGTCCACTCTTTTCCTCTCTGAAATGAGCAGCTTCTTGCCTTTCATCCCTTCTAATACCCAGAGCGTGGGTTGAGTGGCGCTATGGATAACCTTAGAGAGGACTATCACATTTTCTGCCCATCAATAATGCAGTTACTCGCTTCGGTCTCTGCATCATCCATTTTCCAGGAAAACCTGCATCAAGCCTACTTTAACTAGTGCCCTCAAGTTTCCATCTGTCCTTCATCAGGAAGGCAGCAATCATAACCCAGAAGTCACACGATTCACCTTCCAAGTCCAAGTCTAGTTTCTTCCCATAGGAGCTTAGGAAAGAAAGTGTGTCTTGGCCGTCACTCTTCATATTTCACTGTACAATGGGTACCGAATTACCAGGTCTTTCTCTGCTTGCCCTATTGTTTTCTTAAGAGCAATGCCTTACTTCCTAATAGACAGACCTCTTGTATTTCGACCTGTCAATTATTCCCCTACCTCACATCTTTTCCCTTCCCCATCCAAGCAGGCTCTCTCTTTCCCAGCAAATTTTCACCATATAATCACAGAAATGTGTTAGCCTACTTTTCCGTTAGCTTAACAACCCTGTCTATTTTCTACTTGTGCTGATGCTACTGTTTGCTTTTCTGACGGGCTAATCCATGTATCCTTTCAAGGCCCAACTTCCCCTACCATGATAGCAGCTGGAGCTCTAATTCACAGGTGCCTTCCAAAGCTTTTCATTAGCAACAGAAATGAGATGGCTTAGAAACCCATTTCTTAATCTGCAGGTGAGTACTGGAACCTTTGTGCAGCAAACATCGTTCAAGCTCCCCACAATGTGCCACCGCACAATTATTTTCTGAGCCATGAGGTACGACGTGATAGGCACACTTGCAGGGTCAACGGGGAGAATGTGCCCTCTGAAGTAGCCGGCTTCTATCCCCTTGCCTCTGGCATTTCCAAGCCAAGAGAGAAGCACTCAGCAGACATGAGAAAAACTGAGGAATAATGGCTATGCCTTCTTACGCCTGCATAGAGAAGAGAAGGTGAAATCCGAGGGCCTTAGCTTGTGTTCTGGTTCAACTGGCCAGACAAGGGCTTAAGAAGTGAGTTTGGCCTTCCCCAGCTGGGCTCTGAGGCAGATAAGCCTGTCCACAAATCCAGGGCTTAATTACTTCTGACACAGTTGTCCTGCCTGGCCTCCAGCTCCTTTCATGCTCTCACCAATAGGAATCCAAGGTAAGACCCTGTTTTGCTCACCTTGGGCTAGTGCTTACGTCGCTTCTAAGTGATGCTAACACATTTAAACAGGACCCACAGGGAACAGTTTCTCAGTTTTCCTTCATGGATTCTGTTCAAAGTCTCCTCAACTGCCTAGCCAATAACTTTCTGCATCACACAGTCCTTGTCTCCCTCCCTGCCTTGAACAGGTCCTACCCCTCGAGTGAAGTTGGGCATAAGTGTGGCTGGGAAGAGTATGAATCATTTTCCTAATAATCCAGAAGAAACAGGTAAACACACAAAAACAAGGAAATCAATACCAAAACACCTATGGGCTGCCTAGAAAAGGAACCTTCCCTCCAACCCTCCAAGAATAACTAAAAAAAAAATGTGTCCAGCTAGGCATTAAGAAAGAATGCTCCCCAGAAGGGAGGTGACAGTACCAGCCCCTTCTCCTACCACATCCCTCTACCCATCGAAACACCCCAATCAATGATCTACTTGGCATTGGAGCCACATAGCCAATGACTTCCCAAATCTTATGGATGCTTCAACTGCTGAGGATCATGGTCCTTAGCAAGAAGATCAACTTTATGGCAGCATGTACAAGCAGAAATTGTAAATCCAAGCACTCCTTTATCAGTTAGTTGTATGGTTCAGGGGACAGAAACTTCAAAAGAGCTTCCTAGTAAGCTGCAGGTTCCATCTAGATCCATACAAATCCACTTCCCTGTACTTGGAACGTTCTCCTGAGTCTTATAAACCCAGGAGACAGTTCAACTCTGGTTATCTTCGTTCCAGTGCCCCCCCACCCTAAACTTTTTTCTTCTTCCTTCAGCCCTGGCATGCAAACCATGCTGCTTTAACTTCTTTCCTGTTCTCCCAGTTCTTCTGGAACATTTTATTTTCGACAGTCAACTCGTTTGGAGGAGTGCCACACTGAGGTTCAACTGTTTACAACATTAACTATGTTTCTGCCAGAAGCCCCATATCCAGCACTACCTTCCCCAGCCTGCCTTGAAGACTCAGAATTTATGCGTATGTTTGGAAGAAGCTTAGAAAATGTGGAAACTTCCAAACATCACTCTTCTTTCTTACAAAATTGCTTGCGCTTGTCCAAGAAGAGGCAGACATGGAAACCCATCCTACCCTTTCCGAAGTGCTCTCCCACGTCATTTGAATGATGACTGCCTGTTTGGTGGGGAAATGGGAAGCAGCCATTGATCTTCAAGAGAGAAATAGATTCAAAGAGACACACAGAAGACACATAGGACTGTTTTGTTTTTGTTTTGTGTGTGTGTGTGTGTGTGTGTGTGTGTGAGCAGCGAATACTAGAAAATCACCAGTTAAGACTAGATTGACCATTCATCAGCATTACAAAATGGCATGTCTGAAAGCAGCCAATTTGAATTTTCACCATGTTGCAAAACAGATCCTCAGAGTCCAATTGTGGACTCTTTTGCAAGTTGCAGTAGACCCAGACAGATTTCCAAAGAAGGGGATTTGAAAAGCACTTCTAAGCCCTGGATGGTAAAACAAGAGAAGAAAACAGAAAACTTAAAAGAAAAATACAGTTACCACCCAGTAGCTAACAGTTCACTAACAAAATGGGTCTCTACATCCATGAAGAAAGTATAGTACCTCAGCTCTGAGTCCCCACATACTAAACCCAACTACAAACAACAACAAAATCCATGTTCCTGTCCTACAAGACTGGACTACAGAGTATAGGCCCTGAAGAGGACAGCTGTTGAAACTAAACATGAACACTGTTGAGGTAGTGGAAAGGGCATCAGGCCACAGTCATCCAACCTGACCTGTGTTTTAGGCTTGGCTTTGTCACAGCCAAACCTTCTGACCTTATACAAGTCATGTCGTGTCAGAGTGCCAGTCTCCTCTTGGGTAAAATGAGGGAGGGTATTAGAAATATGTTATCTCTTGACGGTATAAAAAAAATATCTAGCTTCTAAACTGTAGGTTTTGTCTGGTGAATATTAACTCACTGTTCTTCACTTATAAACATCTTTCAGTTTTTAGTGACTTGGATGTTAGTTTCTGCTTGGGAAATGATGGTTTTGTCTATCACCCCCAAACCCTCAGTTTACTCTCCCTATAGTCCTTTCACATTCCACAAAATGCTTCTTTTCCTTTCTTTCTTATTATTTTAAGCAACCTTCCCCAAACTAAGACTTGTGCTATTAAAAGAGCTTAGAACTTCCCATTTCCTTGCTAGGGCTAAAATTAAACTGTCCATTCCTTAGGGCCCCACATAACATCTGCCAGATGTCTTGGCATATCACACAAGGAGAGGAATTTTCTTTTAGCATTATCTATTCTCTTCTCTGTTTTCTCATAATCAATTAATAGGTCACCAACACCCAGATAATGTTTCTCTCAAAGCCATCAACTTCAAGAGGCATAGGACTCTCACAAGCTGCTTACACACACACACACACACACACACACACACACACACACACACACACACACACACACACCACCTGGGAAATGTCTTGCTCACTGTGTTTTGTCCATACACCAGGGAAATACTCCCTCCCCTCTTTTCTTCCCCAACCACTTAGGACGATACTCACTCTATCACTGAGCTACATACAACCCCACCTTCCTTTGGATTTCTGGAGTTTCCATAGAGTTTCAGACATGCAGTCACATTCATGCACAGTCTGCTGCAGTTGGGATTAGTTGCTTATATGCTTCTTGATCTGGGACTGTGGCATTACGAAATAGGGCTTCAGGTTCTCCAGCACCTTGGCTCTCAACTCAGAACACTCAACCTAGACCCATGGATTCTCTATTGGGTAACACAGTGAACTATAAACCTGAACATGCTACAAAGAAGATAAAAGGTTACCTTAACTAAAACTTTCAACATCAGGAATAATTAAAGGAAGACTGGGCCCTATTAAACCCCATCACACTGAAAACAAGACTCATTCTCAAAGGAACGTTATCTTTCCTTCTTTCAAGAAAACTGACCACAAGTACTCTAAAACCCATTAGTAAAGTTGGAATTCCCACCTTCTACTGTTTTCCGGTAGACACATTAGGAAAAATGGACATAGATTTTTCTTTTCACCTAAAAGTTGTCTCCGACATGGGGTAGGGATGGGGGTGAGGTAAGGAGGGTCTTCAGGTCGATGGATTGTGTATGAAATCAGTGAGAGAAATATTAGTGAATATGAAGAACCAACAACTATCACTTGTGTGACAGGAATAATCGTGGACTTCATGTCTCAAACCAAATATTATTTCTGAGCTTTGATAGCAAAAGACAAATGCTCAAGCCGACGTTTTATTATTATTATTAATTTTTATTATTATTAACTTCATGGTAATTAATCTAAAGTATTTGTCTCGAGTCAAGTGTGGAGGTCCAGTGCCTTTAAACATGTTACTGGATCTCCCACACTGATTAAGTGTCCTTTAGATTATCAGTTAGAATACATTTTCAAACTCCAAAATGTCTTATGTACCTCATCCCCCCCCCCCAGACACCTTCAGCTCTAGTACTACCTGGGAAGACACCAAACCATTTGATTTCCAAGTGAATGCCGTGGTGAGTCAAGCTGCCACAGTAAATGCAGCTTCTCATCACCTCCCCCAACCAGCTCTAAAGCAAATTAATCACTTGCCCCATTATTCACGACCATAAAAAAGATATCATAAAAGTTTGTTTGAAGATCAACATGTTAATGTTTACATAAACACACACTTAATTAGACGCAAAACTATCTGACAATTAGTTGCCCAACCAGATATCTACTGCATTTAAACTTCCAAGCCTGAACACATAGCATCCATAAATGCATTACCAAACTTAAACAGACACCAAAGGGAGTCAGGCAATAACATTCTAAAATGGAAAAAAAAATGAAAGATCTGATTCCAGGCATGAATTTCCTTCTAAGTGCTCTTGGAGAATTCTAGGTCTTTATTAAAGGGGCGAAGATCTGAACATATTTTTAAATGAGCATCCACATCCACGGAAAACCATACATCTTCATCTGTACAAACAGGGTTTTACTTCGTTGACCATGGACAATTATCAGCTAAAGAGCCATGCATTTCCCTGTCTCCTTTCACACCCCTCAGAAGAACAATAACCCTCAATTAATGACACAACAGTTTGGTTTGAAAAATGTGATGTTGTCACATACAGCAGTGTGCGTTTACTGAGTGACATTGCCACCAGCTTCTCAACAGAATATAATTACATCTGGAATCGAAAACCACTTCAATATGCACAAAAACACTGTAGACAGAAGGAACTTGGCGTACAAAAATCTGACACACAGCGAGAAGGCAAGGCAGGAAAAAACTGGTGTAAGCAGCTCACCAGTGTGCTCCTTATTTCTGTTGAAGCTGGTACCTCTCTGTGTTTCTCCTTGGTTGAAAGCAAGGTCCAATTAGCCCCCTTAGAATCTGTTAATTGGTTCTGAATCTCCTCCAAGTTTTCATCCCACCGTGAAGCCTTCCTCACCTATCTCTATAGTCCATCTAAAATTCTTCCAACATCTTCCCTCATCCTCAAGATGGCTACCTTATCTAGTGGAAGAGACACATACATCTTCATGGTTGGTTTTTATAAATTTGTGAAGCATTTCAGAATTCACTTCTTCAGTTGGGTCAATTACACACGATCTCTAGAAGTAATCTGTGAGGGACTCCACATCAGTGTGTGTGTGTGTGTGTGTGTGTGTGTGTGTGTGTGTGTGTGAGTGTGTGTGTGTGTGTGCTGAGGTAGGGCTGGCTCCTATTTTCAAACCATCCCCACAAAATGTCTTCCTACAAGATTAATAAATTCTTCCAATTAAAAAGGTTAAGATACCTGGACATAAGGTTTTCTCAACTGACATCATTTGTTTCCATAGTGACATTGTTAAGAAGACATGGTGATATTTCTGAAGACTTGCAATACTGGAGAACGCAGGAGGAAACAGCAGAAGGAAAGGGAAGGGGGAAAACAAAGGAGCTAGGAAGGCCTCACACACAAATGGAGCAGCCTGAAGAGACAGGTCTGTAGAACCCGAAGAAGCTGCCAGTCTGAGAGGGTTCCTCTGAGATCTGGAAGGAACATACTCTAATCTTCCAAGCAGAAATCACCCCAAACCAGACAATAAAGTCTTTGCGATGCATCAGAATGATAACCAAGTCCCAGAACTCAAAAAGAGAAAGGAAGAGAAAAAAAATCTCAGCTTAGGGCCACCAGCCTCCCTCACACTGAGGGAGCAACATTTCCTGGACACATTCAGGGGACCTGGAGCCACTGAGAGTAGTGCGAAGATCTCAGTCGAGATGTTTTAGATTTTGCCTAGCCTTTCCTTTAAGGAGGTCAAAAACCCTTCAGGTCCACTCCAAAGGAGAAAAAAATTCCAAAAGTTTACTTCAAAATGGAAACAAACATCTCAGGAACTTGTGAAAGCGCCCGTTGGGTAGGAGAAAAATCTGAGGAACCCTTAAAAGCCCTCATCCCCTTGCTTAATGAATAGAAGAGTGAGGAACCACCACAAGTTCTCCCTCTGGAGAGGGAGAAGGAGTAGGCAGGCATGCCTCTTCCTCCAGCCATCACCAAGAGAGCTTCAAAATGGAGACATCCATAATTTTATAAACACTTCTCAACCCAGCTTTGTCTCCTGGAAGCCCGCTCTCCTCCATTTTCTGGTGGAGTTACAGCATGACAAGGCTTAAGGCTTACCTGACTCAGTTCCCAGCTCTCAACCCAACTAGTCACTGCCTCCCCAAACCTGCAAGCAACCTCCAGAAACAAAACCAAACCAAGCCAAACAGCCAACACAGACACTCAGACACAACCCCCGGGAGCCCTGGAGAAAGCCCCAACTGGTTGGTCTTTTCCCATCCTAGGCGCGTGCTTAAAAATGAAACTTTTTTCTTTTCTATTCTCTCTCCTCACTCTCTCTCTTTTAAAGGTTGGGGAGGAATATGAAAGGAACACTCCAGGCAAACCTCCTCCCTTCCCTCTCTGTAGGTGAGGAGCCACAATGAAAAGAAAACCAGGGTTCCTTCAGGAATGGTGAGCAGCCTGGAGAATGAACGTGAGAAGCAGCTTTGTGTTTTGGAGTCTGGACTGGAACCAAAGCAGACAGCTTGCAAATGGAGGACAGGGAGATAAAGAAAGGGAAAGAGAGGGGCTGCTCCAACGGGGGGGGCGGCTGCGGCTCCCCCGGGCCTGGAGGGAGGGCAGACCCCTGGGAACCGCACCAGGAGTGAGACGCCCCCCCTCCAGGCCCCTGCCTTCCTTTCTCCCAGCCTCGGAGGAGCCAAGCGTGTGTAATGGCTTCTCCTCCTCTCCAGAAACCGTTGTCCTCCTCCAACCAGACGCTTCTGAACCTCCAGCCTGGAGACAGCTCCTCGGCTGTCCCTCGACCTGCGCCCCCCCTTACCCGGCCCGCGGGGGGGCCCCGGCTCGTCGCCTCTCTCCTCCCCGGTAGCGGCGGCGGCAGCCACCCCCTCGACACATCCCGACCCCGCATCCCAACTTCGGAGAGAGAGGGGAGAGGAGAGAGAGAGCCAAATACCTGAGGAAGAGGGGGGTGCCGATCCGCACGGCTTTGCCATCGGGCGGGGGGGGGGGACACGGGCAGACAGAGGAGGGGGAGAGGAAGCAGAGGGACAGAGAAAGAAAGAGGTCAACCCGCTCAGGTCGGGGCCGCTCGCTCCGAGCGCTCCCTCCTCTGACCCCTCGCTCGCTCCCTCCGGCTCGGGCTCAGGTCTCCCCCGGCCTCCGGCCCTCCGCCCCCCTTCTCCGTCCCTACTCCTGTCCCCGCGCTCGGAGCCTCCGTCCTAAGCCTTCCAGCTCTCCGCTCTCACTCATCTCTCTCCTCTCCTCTTCGCAGAACTACACGAAATTAATTAAGCCACAGGGCTCGCCCGCCCGCCCCCCCACCCCCAGCAGAAGGCAGAAGGAGCAGCCAGCAGGAAAAGCACAGCCACCGCCGCCACCACCACCTTCTCCTCTTCCTCCTCCTCCTCTTCCTCCCTAGCCGCTTCTCCTCCTCCTCTTCCTCCTCCCCCTGCTGCTCTCCCTCCTCCCCCTCCTCCTCCTCGTCGGTCTCTCCTCTCTCCAGCGTCTTCTCCTCTCTCATAGCCAGCCCATGCAGGGGACTCCCTCTCCTGCCCGCGCCGCCGCCGCCGATGCCGGCCCTCCTCGGCCGAATGAATGAGCGCGTTTGAGCCTCGTCCGCCGCCCCGCGCTCTCCTCCCCGGAGCACTCCGACCACCCCGGAGGTGGTGGTTTAATTGCAGTAACTTACAGAAGAAGCGTCCCGGCGCCGGGAGGTGCTTCGGGTCCTCCAGCCCCACCGCCTCCTTATCCTCTTTCTCTTTCTCCTCTTCCTGCTCGGGTTATTGTTGTGGAAGTTGTTTGGGAGTCTCATGTGCTTCTGCCGGGTCTCAGCAATGGAGGATCGCCATCTTCCCTGCCTTCCACGGCTCCTCAGACTCGCTGCAGCTGCAGATGACCTGAGATATCCGTCTCTCTCTCTCTCCCCTCTCCCTCCCTCCCTCTCCTCTCACTCTCCCCCCCCCCTCGGCTCTTCTCTCTCCTCTCCTCCCTCTCCCTCGCGCTCTCTCTCTCTCTCCCTCCCTCTGTGTCTCTCTCTGAATAATGAGCAACCAGAGGGAGAGAGAAAGCAAGACAGAAAAGAGAGAAGACAATCTTCTCCTGCCACACAAAACGCCAGAGCACCAGGGGGTGCGCGAAGCCTTTCTAATAACAACAGCGTGCAGGAGAGAGGAAGGGAAAGAAAGAAATGAGAAATGAAAGGGGTGGGGGGGGGCACACGAAGAAGTATCCAAGAGCTGGAGAAGCTGGAGGAGATGCTGAAGCTGCGGCAGCTGCCCGCCCCCCTCCCGCGCCGAACCCCAGAAGGAGGCAAGGTGGTTGCAAAGTTAAGGCTGGGACATTGTCTTTGTCACTCTGAACAACACAAGAGCCTGGCCAGTAAGACGCAAGAGGAGGAGGCGGTGGAGGAGGAGGAGGCGGTGGTGGTGGAGGAGGAGGAAGAGGAGGAGAAGGAGGAGGAGGAGAAGGGGAAGAGAGAGATGGGATGAATAAAGACCTGCGGAAAAGGCGGCGCGAGGAGCGCGACCGTCGGGCCCCGGGCGTGCGCGCTCGCGTCCCGGAGGCGCCCGACCTCCCTGGCCAGAGGAGCAAAGCCCCCAGTGAGAACCCTGCTCCGCTCGCACCATCAGCCCTGCCCCGGGCGCCCAGCCCCGGCTCAGGAGGGTCCCTCACACGAATCCATCTAGAGGCCAATCTTTGCAAAGAACGGAGATGAAGAACCGAAGGTTGCAAGTCTAAACCCAGATCAACCACGTGGGGCTTTCTAATTCCTTTCCAGCTTGCAACGCATCTCCAGTGAAGGGCTCAAGTTGTCCGTTACTGGCACGCGCTCTTAAGTCGTCGCCCTCCAAATAAAGGCTCATTGTGCGTTCCACGTCTCTTCTGATACGGAAAGGAGAAGAAGGAGCCCATCATTTTGATCTAGAAGCCACCACTTTCTTTTCCGAACTTGTGAAATGTTTTGACGGCGCACCCAAGTTGGGGGGGGTGTCGTACTTAAATTTAACTTTCCGCCCTCGCGCCCCGCGTTGCTCCCACTTTCCCACCGATCACCCAAAGGCTTGGAAAGTGGCAATCACCGCTCCCAATGATAAGGTGTCACGGTGCTGAAGACGAGAGAGCCCAGCCGCAGCATCACACCTTGAATTCTTATTTAGTGTAATTTCCACCCAAATCACTCTGAACTACCTCTTTTTCAAAGAAGTGGGTTTCCACTCCCATCTCTCACCGGGTCAAAGATCTCCTAAGGCTTTAATTTGATTTAGGACGGGTGATGGGGGCGTGGGGGGGAACTACAATACAATACAAGAAAATCAATGCAGCAAGTCAGGAGCAATTGAAGTTCAAGGGCATGGGCTGGTGTACGGTACCGTTTCTATTTCTCAGATGCTCTGGGCTGGACATCCACAGCCCCAGGAGAGGAAAGCACGCAGCGCAGCGCGCGGGGCAGAGACCTTAATTAAAGTTTCTTTTGTCCGCCTCTGAATTAGGGGTTGTTGCTGGATTCCTTCGCATTGAGGAGCGCGCATCCGGTAGAAGGCGCGGTGTGGAGGATCCTGGGCGAGATTGTCCTCTTTAATACTCGCCCGGTTCCCCCCCCCTCCCCCACAGTCGGGGCAGCGAGACCGGCAAAACCCATACAATAAAAGCAGAGAAGACGCGCGCACGGAGTTGGTTCCCATCGGATAGCGCATCTAGAAATCCTCATTTCCCAAGATTTTCCCGATTGTGTATTCCAGGGCAGAATGTCTCACCCTGACGCACGCTCTAACCCCCTTCCAGTCAACACTTCCTGCCCTTTTCTCCTCCCACTCACATTGAAAAGCTCGGGAGCCCTAAAAGGGTGTTGATGGCTGGGGGTGATAAATAAATAAATAAATGACACTACGCGTGCGGTGGCGGAGAGAGGCGGGGGAGGAAGAGAAGCGCCGGGGAGGTTGGGGCGGGCGGGGGGGGGGGAGGTCAGGGAGAGGAAAGCGAGGAGAAAGGACTCAGGCGAAAGCGAGCCTGGGAGTCAAAGAAAGCAGAGGGAGAAAGGAGAGGCGGATCCGCGAGGCTGCTCCGCAGCAAACACCCCCCCTACCCCAGGCTTTGTGCACAGGGGGAGGACTCCCTTCTTCCCAGGTGCCGGAGGGACCTGGGCAAGTCTATCTGTCCGGAGCTCCTCCCCACCGGGACCCCAAGGGTGTCTGAGTGCAGACCGCGGCTCCCCATCAATTCCTCGTGGCCACCGGAGGAAGCGCGCCGGGTTTGCGCCGTCCCGACTGATAATTTGCCTCTTTTGTCTTTAATAAAAAGCTGACTTTTTTTTTTTCCTGTCAAAAGCTCTGCACCGGGCCAAAATAATAATAATAATAACAGTCATAGCAACAACAACAAACGATAATAGCAATCGTATTTCAGATTGAAAACTCCCATCAACTGCTAGCTTTCAGGGGCTGCGATAAATATCTTCCCCGACGTGAAGGTACCCTGTGGGTTGGCGTGGTTCGGAAGTGCGGGGATGGGGACTGCCCTCCCCCGCCCCAGGCGCGGGGACCCGGCCGCAGGGAGGGAGGAAGCAGCGGAGGTCAGAGGAAACCTGGGGTTTCCAGGGCTTTCGCGGTCGGGGGAATGAGCCCCGGGGAGGAGCCTTGCGCCAGCGCCAGCGCGCCCCAACACGCCTTCGACCTCGTAAACCCACTTGGCAAAGGCCGGGGAAGCCGCTGGCGGAGCGGCTGCGGCGAACTCCAGAAATGAACCTGCGGCGCGACGCCACGGGCTGCCACCCTGGCCAACACTCACCTCGAGCGACCGACATTGAGAGAGCTCCCGGCGCGGCCGCGGGGGGACCTTGCTCCGCCCTCCCGTCCCAGGAGGAGAGGACAAAAAAAAGGGGGGAGATGGACTTGGAGATGGCCCCGCCCTTCAAACGCTCCAATCCTTGGAAACCAAACCTCCTCTCCAAGCTTCCACGTCTAGAAGGGACAAAGACTGCCAGGAGATCCAGGCGCTGATGGGGAGGTGATGGCTCCTCGCGCTTTGGGGTGGGTGCTTCCGAGGGGTTAGGTATCACGGCTGAGTTTCCATCCCAAACAGGTCGCCAAGGGATGATCTCTAGAGGACAAACTGAGTCTTCTGGTAAAGAAGCAAACTGACTTTTCAAAGCTGTGGAGCAAACAATTGCAAAACTCCCGGCATAGCTTTGCTGTGCTGAAGGTGGAAGATTAAATTTCCTATTCGTGATGCCACAGTGCTTTTTGGTTTTTCTACTTTTAGAAGTCCCAAGTTCCCTAACTTCCAAACTAAAATGAAAGACGTTAAATCTAAAGGGATTGGGAAGGTTTTAGTGGGAGTTTTTCTTGGGGGGGGCTTTCTCAAATGATAGAAAAGTAGTTAATTGGGTGATGAAGTGGAACCCTGAAGGGGAGTGCTGTGCCTGGAGATTCTGGTGAAAACCATAATAAACTTGGTACTAAAGTAACTGTAATTATGTTTTGCCATTAGCAGACAATTTAGATAAGCAGGAGAAAGTTCACACCTCCTGCTATTTCACTCCCTACAAATATTCACAAAGATAATGCAAGCCTGCATTATCTTCTCCATCAAGAGGGCTGACTCTTGATTTTTCCCCCCTTCTTAGCTTTTACACACAAGCAACAATGTGAAGGAAGTTTCTGAGGGACGCCCGGACTCCCTGAAATTTATTGTTTGATACTGTACCTTATGTCATTATCCCCTGGAGTCAGATGGGATTTCAAGACTTTATTAATGGCCTAGAGAGTAAGAATATGCCGAAAGTCTGGACTTTTCTTCTCCTACATCATGAGTGACTGGCACACAGACGCTTCATAAAGGGAAATTATAGCTAATCAAAAGAGTGACTTTATGAACGTTAATAGAATAATAAATCTTGCGATTTTAGTTGAAGGAGCAGAACTCCTGTAACCGGGGTGACCCATGCAGCTCAGACCTACTTGCTTGCCTGACAGTAGACGGGTGGGCATAGTCGATAAATCATTCTGCTTACTAAAGCCTTGAAAAAGGAAGACACTGAATTCTCTTGAAGAAAAATGTTTATTGAGGGAAAGGGGCCTCCTGTTAATCCTACAGGAGAGTCTGAA